ATCCCATCATCTACGTTCGAGCGGCCGTGCACGACACGCCGAGCCGAGCCGTTGCCGAAGTCGTAGGGAGGACGAAAGGGGGTTTACCGACCGAAAGGAGAGACCGAGTGTATGCCACGCGGTGTACCCACCGCGCGGGAGATAGGATAATGTTCCGCTATTTATACGATGCGGCCCACTTCTCGGGGCTGCCTCCAGCCACCCATGAAGAGCGAAGTCCCGAAGAAGGCCGCGCTGATGGCTCGCGGCCCGTCCGATTGACATGCCATTGTGATCGTGCAACGGCTCAATTAAATCCGGTGGTACATTCGGATGTTCGAACGTGGACGACTGAAATCGATATCGCGTCTCATAGAGATCGCGATCTCGCGAGTCCAGTACTCTTTTTAGTATACGAATGCGTAATCTCTTTCTATATAAAATATGACGACGTCTTGTTGTACTATAGGGAGCTTTGGATCCTACCATCACTGGCCGATCTTGAAGAACAAATTTGAGGGAAGCTATATCTAACTGTTTTTAGTTTTAGTTTTATTGAGCGCTCTGTTTAAATGCTAATGTTTATAGCTTAATTTAGTAGAATAAGAAAAATGAGAAGAGTTCGTAGGTTTAACGTAATTTAGATATCAGATCTATCTCCTTTAGGTATTTATCGTGATATTATTGTATCATAAAAATGGCGCGTTGATGAAGTCATCAAGTAAGAGAATCGAAAGGGTTAATAGAATTGACGCGCGACAGCCGCCTTCTCGCATCCCACGATGTTCGAGAGAAAAAGCTGTGTCGCGCCCAACAAAAAAAGCCACGACGTTTCCCACGTGATCCGTCGAAGCGAGGGAGGCCGAGTCCACCCTCCTGCAGATTGCGAGTGCTCATTGTTTCACAGAACAATAATAATCCGCCGCTTGTAAAAATAATCCGTGCGACAAGTGTGCGAAAACTCGACGAACGGAAATTGCAAGGAGTCGAAAAAAGAGGGGGAAGCGAAAGAAAACAAAGAAATATATGAGCATAAGATAAAGAAATTGCCAAACTTATACATAATAAAAAGATAAAATGTTTTTAGGTAAAAAATAATTAAGACGAGTTTAATCCAGAAGTATTAATACAATGCTTCTTTGCAGCTTGATTAATGCCTTGATTAATTTGTGGGAAAAAATAAGATGTAAAACATCGAGCCACGTTTTTGTTAAGTGTTTGCAAATTAGTCGCGCTAACACTGGCTGCAGAGAAAACAGGGAGAGAAGAAAGAAAGGTGAGAAAAGGAAATCGACAGGAAAGAGAAGAAACGGAGAATAAGAGAGACGAGAAAAAATATGGAAGGAAAAGAGACGAGGAGAGGAGGAGGAGAAGGAGGAGGATGAGGAGGAGGAGAGACGAGACGGATCATGTAGGGGGTGGAAGCGCACAAAGACTGCGCAAAACACACAAACAGACGTATTACAATAATGACCGTGCGTGTTGTACAAATACGATATCGGCTTGAGGGGTCCGCCGCACGGGCACGTGACCCTCTCAAAGGGCTCGTAGCATAACGAACACCCCCGACGGCGAGGGCCCCCCGTCGGGGACGCTCGTGTTCCGCGACCAGTTAGCGGGGTTAACTTACAACCCCGCGGCTAACACGCTTGTCTCGACCCCTGAAAGTTAGCTTTTTTTCCCTCGTTTTATTACGTTTTTTCCTTTTTTTCCCCGTCGCGTCATTGCGACGATTACTCGGTAATTTCGCCCGCTTTCCGCATTTTCGGGGGGACGAAAAATTTACGGCGCGCATTGCGCCATTGTAATTTGGACCTTCATTAAAGCCAAGTTGGTTTTAAGTTGATAATGACGTTGTAACGCGATAATGAATTCGCCGAGCGAAATCTCAAATAATTGACCCTATGAAACTACTTTTTGCTATTATTTTCCCTATTCAGAATTATGCTAGAAAATTGGACAAGAGACGAAGAGCGATAATTTGATCCGTTATAGGAAACCTTAAAGGAGAAAACTTATTGGCGAGTCAGTAAAAGATTATTTTGACAATTAAATCAATGTTACCAAAGTTTGAATAAATTACTCTTACATCCTTCAATTATTATAAATATTATTAATAATTAAAATTTCTCTCCTAGGAAGACTAACTATTTATGTTACACGCGGTAGGATAAATAACTGACCTTGGACTTCAAGTTATAATTGTTCACAATTTTCAACTTTCTGTTATATTAAATAAATTCAAAGGGTTAATTAAGTCTTCGATTATTGTCTTTAATATAAAATTTAATATTGTCAATTTTGGCGAGTTCTTCATAAAGGAAAATTAATTTTGCGGAGATGCGCATGGGAAAATTTCATGCGCCGAACGAGTATACCTATATATATTCACTCTCATTAACAACAATCCGCATTCTCGGCCTTTATCGTACGCGTTTTATCGTGCCGAGGGCTCTTTTTCACGCTCGATTTCCATAATAATAAAGAGAAACGCGCCACGATATCGATGACGGACGTCGTCAATACGTTTCGCATAGTTGGTAATTCGTAAGGGAGGAACAACGATTCGAATGAACCAGTAGTAAGGGCGTGTATATAATGGAGGGTGTATATTCGGAAACTATTACGGGCACGTCTCGTATGTTTCGCCACGTGCTGTTGCAAGTTGTAAATCACTTATGCGTGCGTTTCCTGTAAGTTTAGCCGCAAACCAGTCCCTTTTGTCAAAGGGACAAATGGATAGAAGAACTATTTTACATATTCAATATATCTAAATTAGTTTTATAGATTAAATATTTTCTAAACTAAATTCTGTGTAAGAATAAAAAATTTCTTGCTTCTAAAACTTCAAATTTAAAAATGATCCATAAACAGCAAATATTTTAAAGTTCGTACATCTCCAATTTTATGACAATTCTAAATTTTATATAAATAATCTTGTATATTTAAGATAAAATAGTGTTTCAACAAATTAATAAAATATTATGCTGTTCATGGATCTTATTTAATGAGGAAATGCATTTATATTACACTGATTGAAATGAAATTGTTTTAAGAAAAAAAAAGAAATTTTTTAGAAAAAAATTAATAATGTACCTATATTATAATAGCACGCAATAAAATGCTTATCTTTTTATGAAAATATATTTATGTATTCAAGGTGTGGTATTCCTAGTTTAATTATGCGTCGATATTTTAGATTACGACTGCATTTCGATTGCTGTCAGAACGTGAGATAAGTACTTTGTCAGGTGAGGCCTGTATTTACACGCACTGACATAAAATTGACGTGTGAAGCACGCACTTGTGTCTGACAGGGTGGCCTTCGACGGGAAACGACGTGGAGTCGGAGCGGAATCTATTATCCGAATATGCGCAGTTTCTGTTTATAGAAAAATCGTTATGAGATATAGATTACGTGTTACATAGTTCAATCCCGATTCGAAGAAACACTTTAATAAGTTAAGGTCACATATTATCAGAAATTCGTATTTTATAAAAATAGCTCCAGACTGCTTATTTTTTCCAAATAAAGGCAGCGAAACTGATAAATCAATTTTGTCTTCAAGTTATTTGCCGTACGGCGAATTGAAAATAGGAATGAAGCAAACTTTCACAATTGTAAAAAAGTTATAAAAAAATTAATATAAGTGACACAGCTAGCGACTTAATTCTCCAGAATCCAAGAAAAGAATTGCACTCTGATCACATACGCACTGCAGAACAAGTTTCAGATTCAAAAGTGAAATTATAGAATTATAATATCGCACGGTAAGTATGATTTTATTAATTTCGAATCTTATTTCCCAAAAATTTGTCTTTAAACTTTATATATTTAATAATAATACACATTTACATTAAAAATTAACTTTTTATGTTTTATTAAATTTATATCGAAATTAAATAATTAGCTATTTACAAAATTTTTTTTTTAGAAATAAAATTATAATCAGATTTTTCAAAATTATAAATAAATTTAGAATTATGAAAGAAGTGGCAAGCGATGGAACTTTTAATCAAGTTGAAGCAAATCAGCAGTAGGTAAGCACGAATAAAAGGACTGCTGTATTTATCGATTACAGTCGAGAGTATATCATCAGTTAGTATTCTCACACTATATATCATCTAAAGATCACTGAATATCATCTGAAGATATAAATAAAAGTTTAAATCTATAATTGATAAGTTATTTTGTTTGCAAATATACCTATGTATGTATAAGAAAAATATAAGTTTGTGAATTTAATTGCATAAAAAAAACATAATTAGAAATTATATAATATATAAAGAATTCAAATCATTTTAATAATAAAAAACAATTATTGATTTTTAATAGATATATGTAAAATATGCAATCTCGCTATGCAGCAAAATATCAAAAAAACTTCTATGGAGATTTATAAAAGGGAATGAAAAAAGTTTTAACAAAAGAAAGTTTTTATCGAGCGGGTTGGGAGTGTTCTCGCATTTTGTTCGCCGCCTTGTATTGCCAGTAAAAAAATTTGTAGATATACATATATTAAATAAAAAATCTATTGAATACACGAAGAAAACATTTCGAACAATTAATATCTGAAAAAGAAATTTTAAGCAAAATATAAAAATAAACTTTCACGGAGAATTACAACAAAAAAGCTTTTATCGAACGCGTTGGGAGTGCTCTCGTATTTTGTTCGCCGCCTTGTATTGTGCCAGTAAAAATTTGTAGATACATTAAATAAAGAAACTATTAAACACAAAGAAAACACTTCGCGCGATATTTAAAAAAGATATTTTAAGTATCAAAAGAACCCACTGAGAGTTACAAAGGAGAATGGAGAAAGGTTTATATTGACGAGAAAGCTTATCGAACGCGTTGGGAGTGTTCTCGTATTTTGTTTGCCGCCTTGTATTGTGCCTGCCGTGCATAAATTCAAAGCCGTCGCACTTGAAGTGTCCAGAAACAAACAAACAGCAAGTTAAACAAATGCAAATCGCATCTGGCGTGCGGCCAATATCAACGATCGATTTTGCGGCCCACGATGCCTTTCAAGAAATTCAGGCCGAAGTTCTCCATTTACCAAGTTTGCGTAACTATACTGGAAGTAAAGCACTTGCCGCAAAATGCGAATCCGATGGTCGTCGTCAAAGTTGGAAATCGCAAGAGAAGGACAGTGATACGCGAGAGGACCGATAATCCTATTTATAACGAGGTGAAGTTATTCAGTTTTTCGAAACTGATTTAAATCGCTCGGCTGGAAATTATAACGGTTAGAATTTGAAACGTCAGTACGTCTTTAAATAATAAAATATTTAAGTCCTTTTTAATTTAGGTTTTTAAAATTTAAAACTTAAAATTGAAAGATTAAAGAAAATCTTTTCCTGTTCCGAAATTGGCAGACATCTGTACGTCTTTGAGTAATAAAATATTTGAATCCTTGTTAATGTAAGTTTTTAAAATTTAAAACTTAATACTTAAAGTTTAAAGACTTTAGTTTCTTTTCCTGGAATTCTTTGATTCTTATAAATGACATATTGTCAATATAAGATATGCAACTCACATATTTTTTAAACTTAAAACCTATTCAAAGTTTTGTAAATTTATGTTATGTAAACTCTATCGACTTTTTCAAAATTACAAATTTTTAACTTATAAAAGTCGTTTATTTACTTCAATTAAGTAAAAGTTTATTTATTTACTTCAGAGCATTTACGACTTATAGTAAAAATCACTGATTATTAACATTTTAGAAGTTCAATGAGTTCTTCAGTATATGTATCCTTATTATAAAGTTATAAATCTTTAAAATTCAAAGAAGTACATCAGAATCTATCAAGATTGTAGATTTCAGTCTTTCTAAAATTTCCTGACATTTGACTTTCGGAATAAACTGACGCTTTTATAACGAATATGTTTTATTCGCGTTGAATTGTACGCACATTTACCCCCTGCCCTTTGAAATACAGTACTTCGTTTTCGACTTCACGTGCAGTTTGGAGAATCTGCTAAACACGGGCATCACGATAGCGGTGTACCTGCGGAACTTTCTTCGGCGATTAAAGTTTCACGGAAGCATTTCTTTCGAAGTTGCCACAGTATGGGAGCAACCAGGTTACTAAAAAGAAAAAATGAAAAGAGAGATAAAGAAAATGCGGATGTTACCTAGAGCTTTGTTACAAGTTGAATACGTGAATTAAAGGAAAGAGATAAATTCTTCCTAAATGACAAACAGCTTAATTATCTTCGCAAAGTATAAACATTTCCGTTTACAAATAAAAATGAAGAAATATGTTAGATATCGGAAAAATATCGCTTCAGAGATGAAAAAGAAACACGTTCGAGTTTTCAAGAAGCATTTGCCAGATATATGTTATTGCTCTTCTGCACATAGATCGTCAGTACTACCACAAGTGGGCTGTGTTGACAGACCCGAAGGATCTGACGGCGGGCCCGAAGGGTTACGTAAAATGCAACATCACGGTGAACGTCAAGGATGAGAAAGTGAGGGTGCATCCAGAAACGTTGGATGAAGACGACATCGAAGGGTAATCCCTCCCAAGATAAATTATCTCATTATTGACATATCCGTAATTTATACTAAATGGCTTGTCAGAATTTCCGTCGTTTGTGCCTGAATCTCATGGGATTGTGTTTAAACATATATAGGAATCTACTGCTTCCTATCGGTGGTGAGAGGCTGCCTTTCAGGCAACGCGCTCGATATATCTTCATCGTTTATCGGGCCGACGGTTTGCCCGATATGAGCAGCTTGTGCAGGAAGACCGACTTCGAGAACGTTAATCCCTATGTACAAATATCGTTCGCTGGAATGAAGGTACAAAAGAGATAATTTCTGAACTCTCATTTCCGCGCGATAAAGTTTTGAAATGCCTTTAGTTGCTACGAGGATGATTATATAACATTACAGACATTTAATGCATCGTAACCCCGTTATTATCGACGAGAATTATTTATTTAGAGCCGATACGGCCTTACGCGATCGAACAAAACGATTACAAACTGTAAGGCTTCCAGGGATCGACGAGTGAGGCATGGCAAACCTACTCCCCGAAATTCTACGAGGCCATCATTTTCAAGAAAATGTTTCCCGTTCTCCGCCACCGCGTGAGAATCACCATAAAACACCGTATCGACAGTTGCCGGACTTGCATCGTAGCAGTCCATATCCTGGACACAACGAAGATCTCGAATTCCGGAGAGTACGGTAAGATTGCCAAATAATTCCTTGCCAAGAATAAAAAACGGCGTGGAGGATACGCAATTGCTTCCGGAAGAAATAAATTTGAAATAAATATCTTTACATGCCTTCCATTTGTCTTAAACTTCTTTATCTCTCACCCCTCAATATATTTGCTTTAAATTCGATAAACTCATACAATGGATATAATATTGTTCAAGTTTATATTTCCATTTCTTATATGACCATATATAATATAATTATATATTTACTAATATGAACAAATAAGAGGTATTTTTTCCCGAGTATATAATCATATATGTTTATATATGGCCATATATAAATTATATACTCTCATATATATATGGCTATATAATATTGTTTAAGATTATATTTTCCATTTCTTATATGATCATATATAATCATATTTCTACTAATATAAACTAATATAAACTAATGTGAATAAATAAGAGGTTTTTTTTCCCGGGAATAGACTCATATTTTTAAATTATTTTTATATTATGATAAATTCTTCTTAAATAGAGATAAATATTTATACATATAAATTTACGCGTAAGTATGATATCAATCATCTTTAACCTGATTTGAGCCAAACTCGCAAATGTGTATAAAGTTCAGATAAATGTTAGAAAGTAATAAAGTAAGAGAGCGACGTGTGAAAAATTGCGAAAGATAGCATGCATTTGTCCTGTCAACAGGATTCCTGCCGACTTACGGGCCGTCTTTCATCCACTTTTACGGATCCGGCTCGGTGGAGAAGAACGGCTGCTCGGGCAAATGCTTGACGGCAATGCCTTTGTATCGCGGAAGGGTGCTTCTGTCGCTGAAAACTGAAATGGATGACCCAGAAGCATCCCCCGGAATCGGAGTTGAGACTGTTCCAGTATTTCCCATTATCGAAGTGATTAGATTTATTGTTATGCTCCGATTTCACGACTATATATTTACTTTATTTATAGTTAAATTTCATTTATGGTAAAGTCCAATTTACAGTTAAATTACAGAAAAATCGTTTTTCGGTAAGGATAATTTTTATAATTCTGTCAAAATTCCTAACGTAAATTTAATTTATTTTATAACCTCAGTTAAAGACAAATTTCAGCAAGTTAAAATGTCTAAAATATCTTCAAAATCTAATTTATTCTAATAAATTTCTTTTTTTTTTAAATAAATAAAAGACTGATTAAATAAAATGTAAAGATTGATATAAATTTAAAAAATTACAAATACTAGAATTAAAAAAAAAAGAATAATTTCTTAGTTTGAAATAATTTTTAATAAAAGACTTATAAAAATCTTATTTTAAAAAATTTAGAAAAGCCTGTGGTCGACCGAGGAATATCTTCTGGTCGGAGTTTTGTACGATGTGTGCTTGATCGACCGCTCTCGATTCGGATCGAAATTAATCAGCTTCGAACTGAGCTTAGGAAACGCGGGAAATCAACAATTTCCGTATAGTCAATGCGTCGAAAACACTAATGACAGCCAGTCAGGTGCTCCATAAACTTTTATTCTTGCTCATCACATTATCGCGATTGTCGTAAAAACATTTTAGCGCTAAATGTGACTATAAATGGAAACGGATATGAGAAATTAGATACACTTTGTTTCAAGTACCCAATTATTTTCTTTTACCTTTTGCAATTTCGGCAATGCAGTCGCCATTGATTGCGATTTCTAGAGGGTGGTCCTCGACAAGAGAGACAAATTCTCGAGTTTATTGGAGAAACGACTGTTTTAGGGCGAAATTTATGTTGCGCGACTTGTTACTTTTCCTCCTCAACTTACAACGGCATCTCTACGGATTTGTCGCTGTTGGTTACAGCCACTCTGTATTTGTCTGACGTGAAGTATGCTTTCAACGTCAACGCGAGATGGGAATCAGGAGGTCACATTTAACAATAAAATGATAAAAATATTCTTTTTCTTCTTTATTTTTGACTTTGGCAGAAAACGAGTTGCTGGAAAAGCGATTAAACTTCGAGAGTCAATCAGCCCCGCGAACGACCGGCACTATGGATGGCAAGTATAATTATGTACCTTTGGGATCCAGAAAGCCCTGTCTGTACGTGAGATCTTGGTGGCCAAATTTGGAATGGCGGATGTACAACAGCAATAATTTGCGCTATATATCCAACTTTTTGGTATGCCGTAATTGCATGACATTAAAAGCGAGTAAACTTTTAATTACTGGTAGACCTTGGCATTTTAATAGCTTCTATTCATTCAAGACAAAATTTCAAAGTCTATCAGAAGTTAATTACAGAGCCTTTAATTAGCTTCAAACGTATTTTAACGTACTAATTTTAACTTGTTTAATTTTCAAAAAACATGTAAAATTATTATTAATTTATTGTTAAAGCTAAAATCAATATAATAATAAGTTTTGATGTATCTTAAGTTATCAGAACTTTTTAAAGCATCAAGTGTTATTTGTGCGAATTAAGAACATCAGAAGTCATTTCAATCTTTTCAGGAGATAAGATTAGAGAAACTAGAGGCTCTCATGGTTATGGAGAATCCTATAGCTTTCGAGGCTTACAATGAAACGATTCGCACATTAAAAGCTCACTGCACGCGTTACTTACACGCGTTGGACATCGGCAGGTACGAAAACGAAGGAGGAACCACCCAACTCGACCGCCATCGGGTGAGCTTGTGTCGCAAAAATGTCGAAGACATACTCAAGAGGATTAAGATCAACGGCGAACTCCCTAATAACAATTATATGAGGATCGCGATGATCCACGCATATCAGTATTTAAGAAAATTGAGGAATCTGTGCGATGACGTAAGTTAACAAATGCGTGTCTAACGTAACATCCCTTTCGTAAAATTTCAGAATGTTATGAATAACTAACGCGTTGTTTGCTCAGCGATTTTTATGACTTATCGTGCAAACCACAGTAAAATTTTCTTTATTATAAATATATAATGATAAAATATTGTGTATATAATGATAAAATATTGTGTATATAATGATAAAATATGACGTAGTATAAATTATATATTTTTTATTTTATGTACGTTGTTACCTACTTATGTCATTCAAAGTTTTATATTAAATAGTATTTAATTTTCACAAACGTTTTAAAGAATTTCGATGTAGCGTCGGTTACACTGCAAATCCAAGTGTGTTATTTTAACTGAAGCTCTTCTTACACATTTCTTGCCGTTTTAAATGACGTCATTTAACACGGTTGAACGTATCAATACAATTAAACGTGTTAATTCAACACACAACAAAACATGTAAAATGAGCTTCAGTCAAATGTGTCATTTTTAATATGCGTGTAGAAAAGTCAGGCGCTGACCGAGTGACTTATTGTTAGTTAAACATTTTCTTAATTTATTTGATGTATTGTTTAATTAGCCCCAACATGGTCTCCCGGACGTCTTCGTCTGGATGATTGCCGGGTCGAAACGGGTCGCTTACTCACGACTGCCAGCCGAGCAGATCATCTACTCCGAGGAAGCGACGGAAATGGGCGGGAAATGCGGTCGGCGAGTAAATCTATTCCCCAGGAATCCGGACGACGAAAGAGAGCCTGTCGAATACAGTGCCTGCAAAATCGAGGCATTTCTGTGGCTCGGCAACGCGAGGTACGCCGCAGCGTGTTGGAGCGCGATTCCGCCTGGATACGAGATCGATCACGGCAGATACGTCGACACCTTCCCGAAGTACATCGAGTACAATCAGTCCTCGGTGAGAGATGGGTAAAAAGATTCGCGGGAGGGCATTACGATGCATGGAAATGCATAACCCGAGACGTCTGACTTCGCGGGAGAAATCAGTTTGACGTGCCTCGACAAACATTACATCGATATACGCGCGTGAGAACGACACCGCGATAATGCGACGTGATCGTTACAGACGTTCCAGTTACGAGCCCACATATTCCAAGGTCGCTTCGATCCCGGAATGGACGCTTCCGGCTTGCTGGATTCGTTTATACGAGTCGCATTTCAGGGACACATGGCTTCCACGCAGGTGATTAATATTTAATAACATTGATTAATATTTAATTATATGTATATATATTCGTCGCTTGTAATATATAATTATAAGCACTAAGTACGAGCTTTGTTCGCTATAGCCCCTTTATGAAATTATTTATATCATGCGAACATGACAAACTAATTGTTTATTAATATTTAACGTTTTAAGGAAACGTGCCACTTTCCCGATTTTTTAATTTTTTAAAAAGTGAAATTTTGAGCGAGCGACAGCACTCGCGCACGCCGGGTATGTTCTATATATCTCCGCCGTGATGATCATACCGCATGCATACACGATCATGATACCGTGAAATTTCTGCGGCGTGTATTCCTATGACATTTCACTTGAAACGCGCGAGAGTAATGACCGATGTAATACGAGCGTGATTAATGTTGCAGCCGCAACATTTCGTACCGTTTCGTGCTACGTGGTTGACAATTATTAAAATATAGTTAGTTACACGTGCTGTATTTGCGCTACTTAAAAGCGCGCCGTAATACCGTTGAACTCGAAGCCGATTCGTTCCGCATTAACAAGGTAATATTATTCACGCTCGACAAGTTTTAAAATGACGTCGGCAACGTCATTTATTATCGTCACCCCGATATTGTGCAATGCGATTAATAAGGCCGGGTTAATGATCAATTAAGTCGTGATAGACCGTTTGAAAATGTAGATTCTGAATTCACCCTGGCGATTTAACTTTATAGCTGACGATAATTGTTAGAAATCAAATCTATTTTTTTTTATACAAATTGCTCTACTTTTACTGGATTATATTTACTAAATGTGTCAAGTGACTTCGAATTTTTCTAATTAAATCAAACTGATCGATCTTCAGTTTTAATTTTGAACTCAAGTTTTATTCAGTAAAAACAACCCAACTATTATACTTCTGCCGATTTCAAACTTATTATTGCGCATTTTTTAACTTTTTACCATTTATACAATTTATATTATAATGCACAGTGCAATAATGCAATACAAAATTATATGAAAATGTACAATTGAATTATTTGCAATTACATTTACGTTGTAACTTTTTTTATATTAAGATTCATAATTCTAATTAATCTTTAAGATTTGCATTATCAAAATATTATACAATAATCGTATAACATTTGGCAAAAAAAATTATTTGTAATTAGACTAAAATTGCTTTGTACGATAAAACATTTATTTAAAAAAGGAATATTCGAACTTATTTTGTAAAACCTTAAAGTATATATTAAATCTAATTTTATAATTTTTCCAGACAATAAGACAAAGTTTAGACCCGTTTTGGGACCAGACGTTAATTTTTCCTCCGATTATTTTGCACGGTACTAAGGAGTATATTAAAATTCTACCACCCGAAGTCGTCTTGCAGGCTTTCCAGCAGGATTTATGCGTAAGCAAAGACCAATAAATTTGTCAAATTTCTGAGTAGTATTTTCCAAAAAATAAAAATAAAATAAAATAAAATAGTATGTCTTAAAAAGGAATACGAGTATGAAGTAAAAATGTCAAAAATATTGTTGTTTATGTACAGATGTAATTATTCTCGGTGTTTTCAAGTAGAAATTAAAAAAAGAAGATTTAGTAGTGTTCCAACTGAATTTAAATGTTACATATCTCTTGTACGAAAAATAATGCAGGGCACGAGGGAATTCTGTGGCAGGTGTATCGCGGTGCCATTAGTAAAACTCGTCACGGAAACTTACTCGCCGCCCGATTTTCCACCGAAATTAGAGTGGTACAAATTCGAGTCGCAAAAAGATTGCACCGGCTCAGTCCTCGCAGCTTTCGAGCTGATAGAAGTGAGTTATCGACTTTCCTTCTCGACAAATGTCAACAATGTTCCAACAGTGTCATCTCTCAATTTTCTTTCATACAATACATTCTATTTAATAATCTATCTCTGTTTTACAATTTTGAAAAAACATCGTAAAACTCGATATAAAATGTATACCGAGTGAGCCAAGAAAAATTTTCTTCTAATTTTTTTTAATTTTCAATTTTTACTAATTATCGACTTCAAAATACGACTTTTCGAGAAACACTCGCTTAAATTATAAAAACAAGACTTACACATTACGGAGTGCTAACGAAAATTTTCCATCCTGTTTTCTTGTAACCGATTGATTTGTGCGACATGTGCTGAAAT